TTTCCATTGTCTCCAACCTTCTGATCTCTGTTTCATTCAAAGCAGCTGCTTCCAGATCACAGAGTAATATTGTTAATAGAGTGATTTGATAAATTTTCACTTTGGCACCAAATGCAATGTTTTCATCATTCCATAATTTCACCAATTTCTGTGCAGAACTTGTAGCTAAAGCACATTTCCTTTCTAACCTCATCCTTGATGAATCATTGGCACTAATCAAGCTTCCTAGGTACATATAAGATTTTACTTGTTCTATGACTTTGCTGCTGCACTTCAACACTTTATCTATTGTCCTTTTCCAAGATGCAATCACTTTGTGTTCTTAGCATTTATTTTAAGTCCAAATTGACGATACCAATTTTCCAAGGTAGCAAAGAGTATCATCATTAATTCAAATGTCTGCCAGTTGTACGATGTCATCTGCAGAAGCTAAAGAGTTTAATTCTTGATCACCCAATGTCACGCTCTCTGATTCGTCTACCATTCTTTATGTCCAATTTAAGAACATGATGAAAAGCGACAGTGATTCCATGCCCCCTGTTTTACACCAAACTTTGACTTGAACCAGTTGCTTAATTTTCCACCAATTCTCACAACACTCGGGAGTCTTCATACATTATGTTTATAATTGCAGTTATCCTTTCTGGAACTCCTTATGATTTTGCTACTTTCCATAATGCTTTCCTCCAAACCAAATACCTTTGTGAAGTCTTTAATCCCTATTCTTGCTTTTTCCCCATTAACTGTTGAAGCATGAATATCTGATCAATGCAACTTTGGCCTGACCTAAAGTCACACTGTTCCTTACCTACTACCTCCTGTAAAACTGGCATTAATCTGTTGATAATTACTTTCATCATGATTTTCCCCAGTACTGATAATAAACTTATTCCTCTATAAATATTTGGATCAGCAGGATGTGATTTCTTTAGATTTGGTACAACTGTTTAGCCAGCCGACCGGTACCTCCTCTTGCTCCCATATTTTCTTATATATATTTTCCTAATGCTTTGATAGTACTTGTCCTGCTGGATTTTAGCAGCTCAGCTGTTATACTGTCTATTCCTGTAGCTTTCCCATTTTTTTTAACTGCTTCACTGCTTTTCCTATTTCTTCTTCTTTGGTGGTTCAGTGCGGATATCCGTTCTGCCCTGCAAGCTGCCCTGTTCATCTAGCATGTCTAGAATATTTGCATCTGGATATATTACAGGATTCATCACTTTTTTCAAAATGCTCCTTCCAGACTTCCAGCACTTATTTGGCATTTGCTATCAATTTATTGTTAGCCTTTCTTACTGCTTGTATTATTGGCCTGATTGTGTTTGCATACAACGTTTTTGTATATCATTTTTATATCTTGTTTTCTTGATGCCTCCTCTAGTTTTGGAGCCTCTTTTTTCCAGAACTTTTGCTTGTCCAATGTTTGTGATTTCTTCACCACTGCATACAACACTTTTACTACTACTTTTCCAGAAGTCAGCTTGTTTACACTTTTCCTGTAATGTTCTTCTTTTTGTTGCTTGTCCATTGTCATTGTTTGCTTACAGCCTAGGAAGATACTGGAAGGTGTATTTTGTATTGCATCCTTGAATATTTCATATCCCAGTCTGAAATGAGATTTCTTCATCATCTTAAATTAATGGCCTGAAAGTCCTTCCAAACATCACCTTGTATACCTCCCTCATAGAACTTTCCTTTTAACTTAAGATCAAATGTGGTTCCAGTTTTTCTTGGACTTAAAATTAATCTTCCCCATTAGTAGTTCATGTTCACTGCCACACTGGGCACTTCTATGGTCTCTAAAATCCAACAGTGACCTTTTATGCCCTTTTATTGATACTAATAATGTGGTCAATCTGGTTTTTGATTGGGCCATCTGGTAAATTCCATGCAATCTTTCTAAGGAAACCAAGTACCCCCCAATAATCATACTGTGCTTCTCACTGCAAGTTCTTAACCTTTTCCCACTACCATTAGCTGTCCCAGTGCTGTGTAGTCTAACACTTTTAATTTGCTTACCAGGTCCACTACCAATGTTTGCATTCATATCTCCCATTATCAAAATCATATCTTGATCAGGACTCTCATCTACAATGCTGTCTAGCTGTTGATAAAATCTGACCTTCTCTGCTGCTTCTGTTGGTGCATAAGAGCAGATCACATTTATGCAGTTTACTATAGGCAGTAGTAAACCTTGCTATGACAATCTGTTCAGACACCAGTTTTGAGCTGTTCAATGTTCTCTTGTCCATTTCTGTCGCAACCTCATCCCTATGCTTCGCTTGTCCACTTGAATGTCCAGAATAAAAGAAAGTATAATTTCCAACTGTGAACTCTCCCCAGCCAGTGTGTCTTGTGTATGGCAGCAAAGAAACTTGTAACTTCCTTAATTCCTCTGAAACTAGCTCAGTCTGGCCTGGAACTAATAGAATTCTAATATTCAAACTCACAATACATGTAATATGTTTAGTCATTATCTGAAATCCATGACCATTTCCATTTGCTAGGTTTGATAGACTTGTTTCAAAATCCATATAAGTCGGTCTGTCTGGCTGTCCTGTTTTATGACAAGTATGTTTTGGATGTTATAGCTTGTTAGGCCAATCTGCTTTATCCAGCTCATGGGAATGCCATGTCATACCTGTTCCTAGCATGTCGGTAGGCTATCAGCAGTTCCACCCTAGTTTGCTTGTTCTCCATGGATAACAAGCTTGGACTGCTGGGATCTGAAATCATTTTTTTTCTTTGTCCTAGACATCTGGATAACTGCTTACTGCTATGTTGTTTATAAAATTAATAGAAAACCACATGCTGAGCATTTATAGTATGCCTGGCAACTAGCCTGGCATTGAGTTGGCTCAGAAATGGCAGAGAACAAAGGTGAGCTTTATGCCACCTTTTCAGTATCTCCCACATTGTATTACTCCTCATCTACACCTGAGGATTTAGCTTATGATGAGCTCACATGAGTGTCTATTAAATACCACTGTAAATTGGCTTTCAAAAGTTTGAATGTGGATGCAAATTGTGTTAACCTATTTTAAACAATGTTAGTTTTCTTAACATGCTTGTAGTATGGTCAGTGCTTCTATTGCAAGACTTTTTCTGATTATGGCTCTGTTGTGCTAAATTGCAATTAAATGAAGATTTTAAACATCACTTTCCATGCTATTGAAATGTTCAACGTTTCATATGTCTTTTCTTCTAATAGTCCACAATCCTATTTAAAGAATCTAGGGTGCTTTCTAGGGGCCCACTAACAATCAAAGCTAGATGAGAAGAGGTATTAAATGCCTGAGTAGTGAATCAAGTAACCCCCTTTCTTCAGATCTCTTCCTATTTCTGAAGTCATGTCAGGTTCATGGCTCTCTCCTAAAAGCGAATACCCAAGGTTTCCAGACAGCTTTATGATTCCATGAAGATTTACAAGATCTGCCTATACACTACGCTTTGAATCCTGCTTTGTTGAAACTAAACTCTCTTTCTCTCTCCCCACCTTATGTTACTGTTTTTCAATACATATATTGTGGTACAAGCTCATCTTACAGGCTTATTGCAGGTTGTGAACTGTCTCTAGCTCAGGAACATCTTTTATTATGTTGGTATTTTGGTTCATTTTAATTTATATAGCATATGTCATGTAAACTGTTAATCTGTGTATTTTAATTGAGTGCCTTGAGGACTGGTAAATTACACACAGACACTTGACAAAACATGCAGAGAAAAAACAAATACAATGTGAAAAAGTGATATGGAAGCAAACTTGTCTTTAAGTTTCTGTGTAACGTGCTGCGTAGTTACTCACCTCAGTCATTACAGTATTCACTTTTTAAGAAACAGACAGGCCAAGAGAAACCTGAATCAATCCACCTTAAATGATGCACAGTTAAGATGTGTAGAGAAAGCCATTTAGGCCAGAGCGGCATATCCTGTATGAGAAGCTCAGAGCATAGAAGTGTAGGCATAGCATGTGCTCATACCGATGGGGCATAGGGAGAGCTGCTGTTCACACTGACTTGATGCATCCCACACTCCCCAGAGTGGGTACACAGCTCTCCCTATAGGCACCTGCTATGATGCCTCAGACAATTTTGTTCCCCAAACTCAATTTGGATCCAACTCAATCCTCCATCTGCCTCAGCCTCCCCCACCCACTGATCTACCTGCCTCAGCCACCTTCTT